ACTTCATTTTGAGCTCTTATGGAATCACTTCTATATATATGTACACAGAACAAACATACACAAATCAGGACAAAAATATATTTTTAATAACATTAAAATATGTTATTAAGGATGTTTGATTTTTAGTATATAATTTGTATTTTTTTCCCAGTTCCAAGATGGCAAACCCCTTCCCAAAAAGAGCACTTCCAGGGGCAAGGGGAGGGGCTTCCAGTGGCAAGAGTTAGAGGTTAGGGGCAAGACTTCTGGTCCCAAGATGGCAACCAAGGGCAGGGTGCTTCTCAAGGGGCGGGGCCACTCTTGTGGCCCTCAACAGCTCGCAAAACTTGTTAAATGGCCCCCCATCCAAAATAATTGCTCGCCCCTGCCCTAGTCAAAATCCCCAGTCTTGGCTGCACTTAGTACTCTGCTTCTGAGGAAAGCCAAAAAAGCCCCCTTGACACATGTAGCTGCAGGAGTGTGTGGCAGGGGAAATCTTCTCCTGGACCCATGCAGCAACCAGCAGAGCCCAGAAACGTGGGAAATACTCACAGTAGAACATAGGCATAATTATGCCTGGATCATCTCTGACAGATGCCTGTCAATCCTCCTTCTTGTTCAACACCTCCAGTGATGGAGATTGTACAACTTCCCCAGGCAGTCTATTTCACTGCCTCATTCTTCTCACAGTGAAGAAGTTTTTCCTGATACCCAATTTAAACCTACTTTGCTGTAACTTTAAGCCATTGGGCTGCATTCTGCTCTCAGCAGCAAGAGAGAGAAAGTGTTTTCCTCCTTCTTTACAGCAGCCCTTCAGGTATTTGAAGACTTGTGTCGTGTCCCCTCTTAAGTATCTTTTCTGCAAACTGAACATGCCTAGCTCCTTCAACCTTTCCTTGTATGATGTGCCCTTTAAGTCCTTTATCATTTCTGTTGCCTGCCTCTGGAGCCTCTTTAACTTCCATGTCCTTTAAAAGTGGAGCCCAGAACTGTACACAATACCCAAGATAAGGCCTAACCAGTGCCAAATAGAAGCAGTATTACTTTCTGTGTTTTATACCTGATGCTTCTGTTGATGCATCCTGTGGCAGGACAGTAGAGGGCGCTACTACACTAAACTACCCACCTCACTGTACCCAACCAAAACCCCACTTTGGGTGTCTGTCCTGGGGCGCCTCTTTCCTGGAGCATGCCCACAAGCCTGGGGTAATCACTGCCACCACCTGGTTCTTGGTCATTGTTAGGGCTCTGTGCAGCCAGACCCTGCAGACCTAGGGGGTGCTTAGCCCACCATGGCATTTTAAGGTGCTTCTTTTATCCTGAAGCATTCACAAGTAGCCTTCTGTACCGGAGGGAAGTAAAAAAAACATGCCCACCGTAGCTGGCTGAGCAAAGGGAGCTATAAATGCTAGTCTGTCCCTCTTAAGCATCCACAGGAGGCGTGCTGTAACAGATAGCTTTACTGATTAAAGAGGGAGATGAGAAAGGGGTACATGACAGGTGTATTGAAAGAAAGACACCTTGAGCAAAACAGAGTGGGCTTATTGGCTCTTTGTAACATGCAGCTAAAGTTACATGACCCTAATATACTAGCTAAATTTCAGGGAAGTTACTTACATGTTCATCCAGAGACTGATAGAGCTCAGGAGGTTTTTTGCTTGTTTTGGTGTCCCAAAATGGCCAACTTCCTGCAAGATGGAGTGACCCTTTTTTAAACCTTTTCCATAGATTTCATAGACATTAGGGCTGGAAGGGACCTCAGAAGATAATCGGGCCCAGCCCCTTGCCCAAGGAGCAGGAAGTCAGCTAGGGTGAAAGGATCACAGCAAGATAAGCATCCAAATGTTTCTTGAAAGAGTCCAGAGTAGGTGCTTGCATCTGGTGTCTGTTCCAGGCCTTGGGGTCTCAGACAGTAAAGAAGTTTTTCCTTATGTCCAGCCTAAAATGGCCTTGCAGGAGTTTGTGACCATTGGACCTCATCATCCCCTGGGGTGCTCTGGTGAACAGGTGTTCCCCCAGATCCTGATGCACACCCCTTACGTACTTATAGGCTGCCACCAAGTCACCCCTGAGCCTGCGCTTCTCCAGGCTGAAGAGTCCCATAACTCGCATCCTCTCCATGAGGCTTGTTCTCTTGCCCTCTGATCATGCATGTGGCTCTCCTCTGCACTCTTTCAAGCTTCTCCACATCCTTCTTAAGTTGTGGAGCCCAGAATTGAATGCAGTACTCCAGCTGCGGCCTCACCAAGACTGAGTACAGTGGGAGGATAACTTCCTGGGTTTTGCTCGAGATGCATTGGTAGATGCAAGCCAGTTTTGTTTGCTTTGCCTGCTGCAGCTTTTGACCATCACCAAGTTCCAACCAGAAACAGGGACTGCATGATGCAGACCAAGCCTTTTAAAAGTAGTCAGCATCCCCAGGTGGAGGGACCAGGGTCACATGGGAAACTCAGAACAAAGGAAGATGGAGCTCTCCCCTCCCTATGGAATTTTTACAACCCAGTCACCCAGGTGATCGTGGGGATCCACCAGTCCGAGTTTGAAAACAGAGGCTGGGCAGACTCAGAGCAGAGAGGCAGACAAAAAGGAGACTTTTTTTCACACATCCCAAAGCTGCATTTGTGTAGCTGTATCATACTGCAGACTTGTATTGAGTCTGTGATCTACCAAGAATCCTAGATCCTTTTCCATAGTGCTACCATCCAGCCAGGTATCACCCATTTTGTATTTGTATTTTTGATTATTCTACCCAAGTTGTAGCACCCTGCACTTGTCAGCATTGAACTGCATCTTGTTAGCTTCAGCTCAGCTTCCCAATCTGTCAAATTCTGTCTAAATTACCCTCCCACCCCCAGTGTGTTTGAAGTACTTCCCATTTTCATGTCATCTGCAAAGTTGCTCAAGTAGCTTTCTATGGCAGCGTCCAGATCATTAATAAACATGTTGAACACCACTGGGCCCAGGACAGACCCCTGTGCCACTCCATTCGAAACCTCCTTCCAATTTAACATGGATCCATTTATAGTTTCATAGTTTCTAGGGTCGGAAGGGAC